TAGCGGATTCCAACCCATGAACCTGCCAGCGGTTCTGATTAATTTAGGACACCGATATTTTTTGACTGATAAAATTAGTCTTGGATGTGTGTGTGTGTAGTGTGACATTTTTAGAATTACAGTAGATTCTACTAAACACAGAAATTTCAAATCCTTTTTTTTTTCACCTCTTTATTCTATGCATTGTGATTATCTTTTCATGAAAAAAAATTCCAGCAGATCTAGTTTTAAACTAATTGTGGGCTGTTTAATTAAACTATACCTTCTGGCTGACTCTGCCCCTTTCTTTTTTTTTTCTTTTTTCTTTGAGTTGCGTATTATTGTCAATACCTGTCACCAAGCATTTTTTTAAATAAGCTAAAAATTATTTCCTGTAAAATAAAGCCACTCTCTCACAACCAGCTGCATACAGGGAGTGAGTGAGAAAGAAACCTCAAGATAAGACACTTGGAATCTACCCTCTGTCCCAAATTTAAAAGCGGAAAAAGTCTCTGTTTTATTTTATAAGTTTTTGTTCTTGAACTGAGTAGAAATGTTGAACAATTCCTTCTGTGCAGCCAAAGCATCCATCTGATCTCATGTTGAAAATGCTTCTTTTTTTTTCTTCTTTCATTTTCAAAAAGTTGACAGCAATGCATGTATTATAAATAATGAATGACTAAAAATAAGTTACACTACAAGGCCTGGCATGTGGTCTTGTCAGTTCTTGTTGCAAGAAAGAAATTGTCTCCCTATTTTTTTAGCTTTATTTTTTTGTTTGTTTGTTTTGTAAGGGTTGTTTTTTTTTGTGGGTTTTTTTTTCAACGGCTGTGCCAGGGAATGCTTGACTTTTACTTCATCACCAGGGAACAGCTCCAAGTATTTTACTATATTGTATTATGGAGTCCAAACTTCATATCATGTACACCTGCCAAAATATCTTATTTGATTATTTTGAAATGTTCTTACTTTTGACAAAACATAATATAACTTCAAAACCTGCTGTGGTTGGTTTCAAGATTTTTATAATAAATTTTGCTAAAAAAAATAGTAGCTCTCTAACATTATATTTGTAATAGAAGTAAAGACGACACAACTTTATCGTCAATTTGTTTTCAGATTTGACAGTCTTGATTTGGCCTTGCCTGTCAGGAATCAATGTCATTAAATCATGTCTTGACCCGATTATCGTTCACTAAAAGGTCACGCACGAGGCCGAATTGCGGCCAGGAGTTGGCCTGTCCTGCTTGTTAAGTAGTTAAGAGTTAGTTCCCCTTAGATCTACTTTTCTGAGATAGATTCGGCTAATCTTTTTGTTAGCTTACCGCCTAACAAATGCTTATGTCTGCTTTTATGATTGTGGTCCACCGGTACAGAAAAGATGGGTGCTTTTGTGACAATGAAACACAAGCCTAGACCTATCGATTGTTTTGCGCGCGGCTCACGATAGACTCGACACAGTCTCTCACACTAACCACAGACGAGTGAGACTGACGTCATCGTGTAGTGTATTCGGTTAAAGATATTACGATTCGGTTACGGTATCGATTGCGGCAGATCGAGGTGGTTTTATTATCGTGTCATTTTTGAATAATCGAGAGCTCTGTCGAAACAATTTACCAGGCTATGGAGTTAACGAGTTAGGGTGTGTGGTTTTTTCTGAAATTGACAAACATAAGATTTCTACACACGAAAAACACGTTAAATAATATCAGAGACCTCATTAAATTGGTGTAATCAAAATGTAACTAAGAAAAGGAGCAAGACTGCCTACAATCCTAAGTAGCTGATACACGATGAACTTATTAGAAGTATTTGTTTTTAAGATATTACCACCAAAGTCCCAAGCCCATTAAGTGTCTGTTTTCATTCATTGCTTTAGATCTGACTAAATTCTGTTGACCCAAATTGCATTGCCTAGGCCTGAACACGGCGAAAACCTCGAGTATCGATACTATAAATTAATGTCAATAATGAATACCGTAAACACGAGGTATTCGCTTCTAATTTTAGTACATGTTCTAGTTAGTACAGTCAGTCGCTGTTCCCCGGTCCTCCACCTTGCTTCACTTTATACTAATATTTATTACGAAAAATGGAAACCTACGTGTCGAGAAAAGGCAAACCAGGGCTTTTGATCGACGGGTACCGGTACAGAAAAGATAGAGACACGCAGTCCACTTCGATGTGGCGCTGTACGAAAGCGAAATGTCAGTCGTCGTGTTCCACCAGGGATGGTGAGATAGTCCGACAGCCGACGGAGCACAACCACGAGAGGGAACCACAGAATGTGGTCGACAGACATGTGGCACGCGGGGCCATCAAACGAAAGGCCATAGAGGACTTGTATGAGCAACCAGGAAAAATTGTGTGCTCCGAGGCTGCAAAGCATAAGTCGCTCACAGAAGCTGATGCCAAGTTGCTGAGGGATTCTGTCTATGCTGCACGACTTCAGAAAAGGCCTCCTCTACCAAAGAGCCTGCAAGACACGATTAGCTCTCTGAATCTGTTCAAGATGGAACCAGATGCATTAGAATTAGAGGCAAAACAGATTATCCAAAGTGACCCCGAGAGTGATATTGTTTTGCTGTCTTCGCCCGACAATCTACGCCTTCTCAGCCAGAGCAACCATATCTTCGGTGATGGTACTTTCAAGACAGCGCCACAGCACTTCTATCGATTGTACATCCTACACGCCTTCTCCAACGGGGTGTACGTGCCGTGTGTCTTTTTCCTTCTCCCGGACAAGAAGCAAAAGACTTATGAGCAGATGCTTCATCACCTCATCAGCTCCTGCGCAAACTTCAATCTCACCATCAACCCTGAGGCCATCCACCTCGACTCAGAGAAAGCCATGCACACAGCGGTCAAGGAAATTTGGCCTCAGGTTTCGATTATTTCTATAAAAGGATGCCAGTTTCATCTCAATGAGCCTTGGCACAGGGAGATTCAGTCCACAATACAGAGATATGGATTCAGAATGTGGAACATGGCTCAAGCCCTCTTTTGGTTTGCCTGCTCTTCTAGTAGTGACTGAGGAGATCCGTGACTGTTACTACTGTTTTGCGTTTTCAGTTTTCTTGAATGCCAAATCTGGATAAGCGTTGTGCCAGCACATGTTATGTTTTTGAAAACTACATCGGTGGTGATGGTGCCCCATTTCCACTCGTCAGTGTGAAACAATATTAAATGAAATGAAGGACACATCAATTCATGTGAGAGAGCCCATTCAGTTTTGGAATCTTATTCAAAGTTATTTATAGTCCTTATCCAAACCTATTTGAATTTTTGGAGAAACTGCACCTGGAGCAGAACATTATTGAGAAAACGAAAAAGATACAACAGTGAAAAATACCAGGACCTTGTCAACAAAGTATCCAGAGAAGCAATAGTTAAAAGACCAGTGCAGTAGTAGTAAGTAAGTAAGTCTGAAAGCATAGAGAGACTTGGGACCATTTTCAGTCTAATGTTTCAAAATGCAGTTTCACTGCAGTCCTAAGCCTGAAAATTCTGAGGGAAAAATATTGTGAAGAGCCTATCTAATTAGAATCTAGTTCCAAGCCTGAATACACAGACTGAGAGAAAAAATATGGTCTATTTTTAGAATGTTAATATCTGAAGTAAAAAAACCCACTGCATATATCGCTGTTGTCAATTATTGTCAATACCATCAAGACATGGTGTGTATCTCAAGTGTATGCTTGAACTACGTGAAGTGCAGTCATTGTTCCCTGGGCTGATTTCTCTCTCTCTCCCCCCCCCTCTCTCTCTCTCTCTCTCTCTCTGCCCTTTACCAATTGCCCTTTCCACCCCCCGGCTTTTTTATTTGCCGCTTCGATCCTTTGCAGGTGCAGCAGTCGGTGGCATTGAGTGTCGAGTGTTTTATCGGCCGGTAAGGGCCAAACTCTTTGCATTTCATTATTAAGACATGCTCTGTGTTACAGTCTACTAAGAAGAGTTTTACGGCACATGCAACATGGATGGATAGATAAATGGATGGAGAGAGAGAGAGAGAGAGAGA